GAAGGAACACCTGTTATGATGGAGCCTTGGAATCATGACGACGAAGTTGGCCGTGGAATCATAATTGGAAAAGAATTAGTGACTTCGGCTAAAGAAATTCCTGTGAGACTTATCAATGTCAATGACTATCCAGTCACCATCAAGAAAGAGACAAAAGTAGGAACTTGCGTACCTGTGACATCCATAATTCGTCAGACGACAACGTCTGATAATTCCAACGACAAATTTGAGCAAATGATTGCAGTTGCTGGACAGTCTCTGAATAAGAATGAGAAAAGGAAATTAAGGGAATTTCTTCGGCAGTATCGTGATATTTTCGTACCAAAAGGAGGAAAGACGGGAAGAACTACCGTTGTTAAGCATAAAATTGATACTGGTAATGCTAAGCCAATTCGTCAAACAGCTCGACGATTACCACAGGCGAAAAGAGAGGAAGCTGAAACGATTGTTCAGGAAATGAAGAAAGACGGGGTGATAGAACCTTCTACGAGCCCATGGGTCTCTCCGGTGGTCCTGGTTAAGAAGAAAGACGGAACAACGAGGTTCTGTGTGGATTACCGTTTGCTGAACAACGTTACCAAGAAAGATAGTTATCCTCTGCCTCGGATCGATGACACATTAGACACATTGGCTGGAAGTAAATTATTTTCTACTTTGGATTTGAAGTCTGGATACTGGCAGGTAGAAATGGACCCGGTAGATAAAGAAAAGACAGCCTTCACCACAGGATCTGGATTATGGCAATTCAACGTTATGCCATTTGGACTTTGTAACGCTCCTGCGACATTTGAGAGGCTTATGGAAAATGTGTTGAGAGGGCTATCTTGGAAAACATGCCTAGTTTATCTAGATGACATAATCGTCTTGGGGGAGACATTTGAAGATCATCTGAAGAATTTAGAAAACGTTTTTAATCGACTTAAAGCTGCCCAATTGATGTTAAACCCTAAGAAGTGCCAGCTATTTCAAGGTAAAGTCAATTATCTGGGTCATATAGTCAGTAAAGAAGGAGTGGCTGTGGATAAGGGAAAAATTGATTCCATTAAGGAATGGCCAAAACCAACTGACAAACACCAAGTGAGAAGTTTTCTGGGACTATGTACTTACTACCGGAGGTTTATTAAGAAGTTTGCAGATATCGCTAAACCATTAACGCGACTTACAGAGGAAGCAAGAGAATACCGCTGGGATGTAGACTGCCAGAATGCCTTTGAGACCTTAAAAAAGCATTTAATCACAGCACCAATTTTAGGGTATCCACTGCCAGAAGGAGAGTTCATCTTAGATACAGATGCAAGTAATGTGGGAATTGGAGGAGTGCTGTCTCAGATTCAAGGAGGACAGGAAAGAGTCCTTGGATATTTTAGTAAAGTTCTCTCAAAACCTGAGCGAAATTATTGCGTCACGAGAAGAGAACTTCTGGCAGTAGTGAAATCAGTAGAGCACTTCTATCAATACCTCTATGGAAGGAAGTTTTTAATCCGAACCGACCATGCCGCCCTTAAGTGGTTGATGCAGTTTAAGAATCCAGAGGGTCAGATAGCCAGGTGGATCGAACGACTCCAAGAATATGATTTTAAGATTGAGCACCGGGCCGGAGTTAGCCACCGAAACGCCGATTCTCTTTCCAGAAGGCCATGCCCAGCAGAGTGTTCTCACTGCAACAAAACGGAATCCAAGGAAGCAGCAGTGCTAAGAACGACGGTGGTCCACGACGACTGGACGCCTACCAAGATCAGGGAAGAACAAGAGAGAGATCCAGTTATACAGAAAATCCGAAAATGGAAAGAGGAAAACCGTCGACCACCTTGGCAAGAAATATCGAACCTAGGCTCAGTAGTTAAGACGTATTGGGCCCAGTGGGACTCATTTATCATGGAAGATGGCTTGCTCAAACGAGTCCTGGAAAATGATGACGGTTCAGAGAAGAGAAGACAGTTGGTGATTCCAAAGAGCAGAATAGCCGAAGTACTTCGTCAGTTACACGACAGTCCATCAGGAGGGCATTTTGGTGTGAAGAAGACCCTTCAGCGAATTCGGGAACGGTTTTATTGGATGAACAGTCCCGACGATGTAAAAGACTGGTGTAAGAAATGTACTATTTGTGCTACGAGTAACGGGCCTTATCGAAAAAGGAGAGCTCCTATGAGACAATATAATGTTGGAAGCCCGTTTGAAAGAATAGCTTTGGACATTGCTGGGCCATTTCCAGAAAGTGATAATGGAGGCAAGTACATGTTGGTAGTAATGGATTACTTCACTAAGTGGGTCGAGATTTACGCACTTCCAGACCAGAAGGCCGCCACCGTTGCAGATAAGTTGATCCAAGAATATATCAGCCGATTTGGAGTGCCTTTGGAGATCCATAGTGACCAAGGCAGGAACTTCGAAAGCGATTTATTCCAAGGAATATGTGATAGACTAGGTATGAAGAAAACAAGAACTACGGCTTATCATCCGCAATCGGATGGTATGGTAGAACGAATGAATAGAACAGTTGGCAAGTATTTGACAAAGATGGTATCCGATCATCAGCGAGACTGGGACCAATATCTTCCGTTCTTCACAATGGCCTACAGATCTGCTGTTAATGAATCAACAGGCCAGACACCAGCCAGAGTCCTATTCGGACGCGAGATGCGACTACCTTGTGATCTAGAGTTTGGGTGTCGACCTGGAGAAGATGTAGCAGGTGAAGATTATGTGATCGAATTACGAAGAAGAATGGACGATGTACACGAGTTGGTCCGTTCCCATCTCCAAATCGCTAGTGACCGAATGAAGAAACGGTACGATACACAAGCCGAAAAGGGGTGTTTTAAGAAGAACGATAAAGTCTGGCTTTATAACCCCAAAAAGCGAAAAGGTTGTTCTCCCAAATTGCAGCAGTTTTGGGAAGGTCCATACCTCATTATGGAGAAGATCAATGATGTTATTTACCGAATAAGCAAGATTCCGAGAGGAAAGCCGATGATAGTACACCATAACCGGTTGGCGTCTTTCGAGGGTGACCACGACGTAGATGAAGAAGTGGAAGTAAACCAAGTCCAAGATGTGTCTGACCTCACGTTTGAGGAATTCATGGGTGCCTATGGAGGTACCGGTAAAGCAAGACATGGTGTTACCACTGAAGAAAGGCAAGATCTACTCGCGCTTCCCGATGACTACTCACTGGCCCTTACCATCCCGGCCAGTATCAAAGATGCACCAGGGTTGGCATCCGTCTTTCGAAGGAAGTTTGGTCGAGTTGCAGAACTTCAATGCCAAGTGCCAGCTCCTGGTAAAACCTTGAAACTTCAAGATGCATCACGTTACCTTTTCTACCTGGTAACAAAAGACACTGCCCGTGACCAACCTACCTACCGAGATGTATGGGAAGCCTTACTTCAGTTGAGAGAGCACGTACTAGAGTCCGACGTGCAAAAGTTAGCCATGCCAAAGTTGGAGTGCCGCGAATTAGATTGGAGGGTTATACGAAACATGGTGGAGGAAATCTTTAAAGACACCGAAGTCCAGGTGTTAGTCTGTTGCAATCCGCATAGTTACTGCTGCGGAGAGAAAACCGTCCCTTGTCATTTCTATACAACTGGAAGTTGTAAAAGAGGGTCCAGTTGCCGATATCAGCATGTCGTTCAAGTTCCAGTCCCGACAAGGTTCCAGGAGGAACCATCTTTTAAGAGGGGGGCAATGTTACGATTTTAAATGTTCTGGCATATAGAACTGTAAATATTTTATGACTAATTCTTTTTTATTGATTCTCGTAATTTGTAGGTCAAAATATACCTGAGCTTCGCTACCAGTTGTTTACAGAAATCTCTAGACACTAATTTTAGTGAGTCATCCACGTCTCGAGGTTGAAAAACGAGTCGAGCGCCTTCACCAAAATACGAGATTATTCAGGAAGTTTGCCGAAAGTTCCAGATGACAACAGTTGTGTATATAAATGAAAGATTTTTGTATTTGAGTTAGTCATAAGAAGATCGGTAAACGCGATATTTAAATGTAACGAAACGTAAAATAAATACATTTGTAAAGTTATTTAATAAATTAGTAATTAGCTATCGTGAGTTTTAATAAATTAGAATATAGACAATAAATTAGAATAAAGACAAATAAATTAGAACTATATAAACTTCACACAATAATTTATTAATTTCGGTAACAGTTTGTTGTAATGAATTGCAGTATATACAATTATACATATCTTGTAACTTATCCCATCTTCCGAAAATTTTTGAATCAGCATATAAAACTTTTAATTCATTTTCTAATTTTATTTTATTAAAGAATGATGGATAATTTTTAATTAACCTGTCTAATAAATATCTTTGAAATTCTTTGGCGTAACTTTTAAATTTTGAATCGTCAAAGAGGTCAAAAATTTGCAAATCTTCAAAATTCGAAAAACGAGTATCTATTTGCATAATAATAGTATCCACAATTTCAAAATATACTCGTTTTTTGAGATCTGCTTCTGTGTCACGCCTTTGTCTTTTTTTTGGGGTTCGGAAATATCAAGCGAGTCCATAACGTCACTGCGTATATACTTACTGGAAATTACTATCATTACGAAAATCTCTGAAATTTAGCACCAGTCTTGTTATTCTATTTTTGGAATGAATAATGTCAATTAACTGATCTTGAACAACATTGGATATCAAATCGGTTTGCGTAAACACTTTCTTAAAAATATTTAAAAGTATGTTAAAAGACTAATCATGTAATAAAGTTTTCAAACCGATTGCTTCACGGATCGAGATATCATCACTTTCAAAATCATCACATTCAATAATAAAATCAAAAACTTCCAAAAGCAGTACACGAAAATCTGCTACAGTGAAAACTAACCGAGATTTAAAATTCCATCGCATCTGAAAAACTGTTGGTGTGTTTTTCGAAACAAACCGTTCTAAAACATTAGTCCGTTTAGGCTAGCTTGAGAAAAATGAAGCAAATCCGCTTAAACTGGCAAAAAAGACGACATTCTTTAATTTTTTTACATGTATCCTGCAAAACTAAATTCATTCTATGCGCATGACAGTGAGTAAATAAAGCTTGCGGTGTAATAGTTTTAACTTTTGCCTGCAGACCATTTAATTCACCAGACATCACGGCAGCGCCGTCATAAGTTTGCCCTACCAATTTATTTTTGATATCTAAAAATTTTAATCTATCCTTTAAAACACCAAAAATATATTCTGCCTTATGGCTTTTACTCACGTCTGTAAAACCTAAAAACCTCTCATAGATATTACCACATAACGCGTATTGAACAACAATTGATAATTGTGAATGACATGATATGTCGGTAGTTTCATCTACTTCTAGTAAAAAGCAAATGGTTTCCTGAATCTCAAATTCAATAAAGTTACTCAAAATGTAACTAAGTGATTCTATTAATTCATTCTGGATTGTTTTAGATACACCGCTAAATGTCTTCGAACCAGAAAGTAAATTAGAAAATTCCAAATCGTATTTTTTAAACATTTTTATTAGTTCTCTATAATTACATTGATTTAACGAATGGTCCGATTCATCGTGTCCCCTAAAAGATAATTCCTGACAACTTAAAAAAATTACAATATCAATTAAATGACGTAAAACTGCGTGATTATTTTTTACAATTTCGTTATGTTTAATAGCATTTCCACCTTGGGCATTATCTAATGAAACATAGATATTTTGTTTTCCAAATAAATCTAATTTAATCTGGCTATAAGTATGATCTTTCGAAATATCATGTTTATGTAAAGCCCTAAATAATTTCTTTAAATTATCGTAACCAGATTCACATGTTTGCCAATATTTGTGAAAATAAAATGCAAGGCCAACAGAAAATTTCGTTTTTTATTTCACTCCCGGTAAGCCATGAAAATGATCTATTACTTCCCTTACCTTGGGTATTCAGTAGATTTATATGTCTATAATTATTGGGATCTTCGTTATCTCCTTTCTTGAACATTGGTATCATTATGCTGTTTATTCATGCGTCTGGTATCTTGCAGTACAATATTAGTTTTTGCCTCCTTTGGTATATTTCTTTTGTAGAGTCGTTCCACAGTGATTCTATATTGAATTTTTCCTCGGTGATTTCCTGTAGTAAACGTTTTGGTGTTATATACCAACATTACTGAAATAATAGAACGTTAGAGACACTTCATCTACGCACAGTGATTTTTTTATTTCTTTACATAAATAAATAATTGGAACCGCATGCAATAGAATTAGGGCGGGATGGATGAAAATAAAGGTAGCTAGTGGTGTATATATTTTATAGATTGCATTCAATAGACTTATAATTGTTTCATTTGTCACGTTTCAATTAATTTTGGATTCCAATCTGCATTCATTTATAGCGTTGTTTGAATAACCTAAATTTGGGATAATCAATCAACTTTTATAGATAATGCAAAATATTGAGAATTAATCAAACCCTAGATAAATATCAAATAGTTCCGCCCATGCTTGACTCCCTCACTATGTGTTGCTAACTTCAAGTCAGACGCAAGCAGGCGCAATACAAGGCATCTGAAATAAACTCCATTACATTACAATTGAAATATAGACCGGAACTTTTTGTATCCGCCATTAAGCTTGTTGTTAGATTCTTTGACAGGTCTAATTGATTATCGTGTACTTTCTTTGGTAAGTGAAACATTTATTAAAAAAATATTATCTCTTGTATAAAAAGTAACAATGTAATTAATATGCTCAATAATATCTATTTGTGAATGATATCTTGTTTTTCTAATGGCTGAGTACTTCATGATTACCGGCTTGATCAATGCTTGCGAAATTTTTACTTTAACAGCAAACTTTGACATGTTTATTATTTGTTATTGAGATATAAATAATTTCCAATGAATTACGAAACAATATTTATAACGTAGTCCTTATTTTGTTAATTATCTAAGCAACACAATGTATTAATGACATTTAGGTGGGAAGTAGAGAAGCCATCACCACACCACGTTTTTTTCCTTATCTATCAGCTAATGTTTTTAAACAATACTTTCTTAATTCTAAAATCAGAACAAAAATCAATCCAATTTAGTTTATAGTCGCCAGGATGTCAATGTTGTCAAAAGACCGGCAGCCCGCCTACACTACATTTGTTAAAATCGTTAATAGCAGAGGTGATGTTAATATATTTTGACTTACAATTTTAGAATGTATGGAGCTTACTTATACAGTTCTTTAAATAAAATGTTCTTGTTTTGTACAGACAGCTGAAGGGTAGAATTAAAAAGTCAACAATAATTTAGTGTATATGGGTCTTTATTTTTTATATTCTTTTATTCCAAAATAATTTTCAATGACGTACATAGAAGCATTGAGGGTAATTAACTTTGCATTAATTGTCAATAGTATAATTTTAGTTTAAAATCTTTTTCCTTGCAAAATTCTGCACCTTATAAAGTTTGAAACCACCCTTTATCTTTTCCAATATGAGTAATAGTGAAACAACAACCTTTACCAGTGGCAAATTTTAGTCCAGTAGACAAATCTTCAGTAAATATCTGAGGAGCATTTGTAACCTGTTTATCTTACAAAATGTTCTACTCCATATTTCATCCAGATAAAAAAACGGTAATCATCATCATTCTGACTTTACAACCCTGTTTGACGCTATCAAAAAGACTCTTCTTCTGGGTCTTCCTCTCACTAACAGGATAAAAACAGTCAGTGTTTCCAATTTCTTAAGATCGTCTTCTCCAACAAATTGTTTTTTCTTTCACTATAAGCATATGTAGATGTTCTATAGTACAAAATATGTCACAAGTCACTATTCATGATTGCTAAAAGTTTATATAAAATAGGTATATTATTTTCACAATATTGTTTCGTTCCTTTGAATTGTTTATTTTACAACAATTTTCTTGAATAATATTTGAAAAATACCAAAAAGTATTAAATATTTATATATTTTTTTATTTTCACTAGCTAACCCGCCAAACTTTCTTCTTCTCATAACCCGGGGTGGGTCTTGGCTGACTGCACAAATTGCTTCCATCTTGAACTTTAGTCTACTAATAGTTGGGTCAGTGGGTAGCCCCATTATCCGATCTAAGAACAATGGTGCCAAACTTTGTACTGCATTAAAAAATAATTAATGTATCAAAGTTCATTAAGTTCCTCTTTTGAATCACAGAAGTCACAGAAATCTCTAGGTTATGAAATGAATCCAGTCAAGGTGTGAATAGCGACTTTACCATTTCCAATATCTAACAACTGTGTCGAAAACACAATTTCACTTTGATCTTGTTGCAAAAACACTTTCACATTTGTCTATTGGAACATTTTTACATGCCGCCACAAATTGGATGATGTTAGGCAATATTAGGCATGCTTTTAGTTCAATCATAGCAGTTAATTGGGAAATAATTATTAAATAAGAAACAGTCTAAAAATAGAATCATGGCTTCACCACAATGTTTTGATTATCATGAATATCTTTTACAGCTCCGTCCAGTTCCTGTAATGACCTCTTGTGACCCTTTCTACATTCACCCCAAACAATTAATTGCATACCTGTAAAATCTTGGTCATTACTCTATTTTTGGTTGTTGCATTATGTTGTATGTTTATTGGTAATTTCAAGGCAAAATTTGCAATTTGTCTGAATTCCTTGCAGATATTCCAGATAAAACCAAAGCTACGGCAACTATAATATGATCATTCCCAATAATAATAAAATTATTGTTTTTTCTGTCCTCTAATTCCATTAGATCCAATGTTCACAGTCTCTATCAAAGCATTGTATGCAATCCCTTGGTGTTGATTAAATTGTAGAAAATTTGTATGAACTATTTTGACAAATGTTGAGCTGCCATTCTCTTTCATTAAGTCACAAATGGATAACATTTATTTACTGTAAAATCTTAATGGTGTGTCATAAATTGAAAAAAAATCTGTCCACATAAACTGATGTAATAGGAGCAGAGTTTAAATTCACAAAAATTTTGGTTCCAAATCTATTTCTTCTTTACTGTTTAAAATTTTTGAAAAATATCTTTTTCAGTGTCACCTATAAAGTTTTGACAAGCTGATCTAATTTCTTTTATTAAGGCTCTCTACTAAGGACAACTTTGTTGATTCTAATAGTCTTGAGTCTAATATATCTTGAGTAATAGTTTTTGAAGCAAACTAAAATTTGATTGATTGAAAGTTGCTGCTTGAGAACATTATTTAAAAAATTTATTTAGCATCTAGCAGAAATTGGGAACTTTCATCCATTAAGCATCATTTATATTCTTTAAATTTACGAAATATTCTGAATAGAAAAAGCTGCTTCCAACCTTGTTCCCCATATCATGTTAGAATGGGATCTTGTGGAAGTGGAATATTTGAAAGCATTTGTTTATAAAGTTAAATTCTTATAGGAGATTTGAGGAGTACTTTTTTGTGTTTGATATCAGGCAGTTTACAAAAGGCATAATTTTGAAAGCGGTATATTTAAAAAGATTAATGCAGAGCATAATTGAAGGAATACAATAACATACCTGAATGAAGACACAAAATAGAAATCAGTTTTCAGGAAGTTGAAATAGCCATAAATTTGCTTAAAAATAGAAAGTCGCCAGGAACAGACGGAATAACCAACAAGCTTCTAAAATACAGAGGAGAAAGTATAACCCTAGAGATGACAAAACTTATACAAAAACTAATATTGTACTGCAAGATACCAGACGCTTGGAGAAACAGCATCATGATAACAATGTTCAAGAAAGGAGATAAAGAAGACCCCAACAGTTGTAGAGGTATAAATCTACTAAACACCGAACATAAGCTTACAACAAAAATCCTAACCAATAAAATCAATAAACTTTATCAGATGAACAACAAGGATTCAGATCCGGAAGATCCTGCGTAGACGTCGTATTTGTACTAAGACAAATCACAGAAAAGGCCATCAAGTACAATAAACCAGCATATCTGTTTTAGAGACCTGACAAAGGCTTTCGATCGCATCCAAGTCGAAGACGTCTTCTTACACCTACTCTATAAAAGAAACATACCAATCAATATTATACAAACCGTCGAAAACATCTATCTCCAAAATCGAATACAGGCAATAATAAATGGAAAACTAACACAGTGTCTGCCAGTACAAAGCGGAGTCAGACAGGGTGACTCGTTGAGCCCACTTCTCTTTAATATAATAATGCCCGAAATAATACAAGCAGTATGTAAAGGTCATGGCTACAGAATGGGGAACAAAGAAATCCAAATATTATGTTATGCAGACGACGCCGCATTAATCGCCGAGAGAGAAGACGAGCTCTAAAGATTAACACATATCTTCAATACAACAGCTAAGAATACAATATGATAATATCAGCAGACAAAACCAAATGTATGACAACATCTAAATACCCACTACAGTGTAAAATCGAAATTGATGGGAAAATAATAAAGCAGGAAGCTAGATTTAGATATCTGGCAATAGATATAACTAGTTACAGAGATGTTGAAGAAGAAATACG